ATTGCAAACTCGGAGAAAGCCCGACATTTTTCTGGGTTTGCCTCGATCCCTCGCTTGGTCAGGTAGAATCTAAGGAACTTCCCCGCCCGCACACCGAAGGTGCACTTCTCTGGGTTAAATCGCATCCTGCACTTTCTCGTTATTTCGAAGACCTTCTTAAGGTGGGTCAGGTGGTCGACCTCAGTGCGCGATTTAACGATCATGTCGTCCATTTAAACTTCGAGCGTGCCACCAATCTCTCCCCGAAAGACTTTGTTTATCAGCCGTTGATAGGTGGCGTCGACATTCTTTAGACTAAAGAGCATTACATTGTAGTAGTAGTTGTCCGACTCGGTCATGAAGGTCGTCCTCTGTTTGTCGGCCTCAGTCATAGGGATCTGATTGTACCCCGAGTAGACGTCCATGAAGGACATTAATTTAAAGCTCACCGAGTTATCAACGAGTTTGTTAATATTAGGGAGGGGATATGCGTCCTTGGGACATGCCCGGTTGAGATCCATATAGTCAACACACATCCTCCATTTTCCATTATTATTTTTTACTAATACAATGTTGGACATCCAAGTGGAATACTGGGCTTCCGAAATAAAATTTGCCTATAGGAGGTCTTTTACAGCTTTTTCAACAGCCGTCGACTTTTCGAGGGACTGTCTAGGCATACGTTGTACTACGACCTTCACGGCTGGGTCAATGGAGAGTTGATGGTTGGCGACCTCAGGGTCAAGATCGGGCATATTGGTAGCGGTCCAGGCGAAGAGGTCGGCGTTCTCACAGAGACAGGCCTTCAGTTGCTTCTTCGCCAGGTCGGGTAGTCCATCTCCAATCTTCACGTTTCTGGTTGTATCCTTGCCGAGGGCTACGAGCTCGAAGTCCTCGTCTGGAATGGGGAGCGTTGGATGGAAAGGCTGCCCGTTGACCGTTGGAGGAGTGTGCTCGACTTCTGCTTCCTAGTCTCATTCGCTGGGGAAGCGGCAGTCGAGGTCCACGACATCGACGTGGTCTTTTGGCATGTGTTATTGGATGGGTGGAGACTTCTTGACCGCCTTGGAAGAGGGGCTGATCGTGTTGAGGCCCTTCATTGCTGCTTCAAAACATCATCGGGCTGCCTCTATGTCGCTGTTGAGGGTGACGACACCTCCCCGCCTGGTGTAATACTTCATCTTAAGGTGGACCATTGATGGCACTGCAGTAAGGCTGCCAGGGTCGTCCTGCCTAAGATGCAGTTGTACAGTGATGGGCACTTGACGACCAGGAAGCAGATGTTGATCTCCCTGGCCGTCTCATTTGTCCCGAAGGTGACATTGAGTTCCACATATCCCCATGGTCGAGTCGTCGTCCCGTTGAACCCTTGGAGGTCGGAGCTGACATAAAGAGTTAGATTGGTCTCGTCGAGCTGCAACATCGAGAACAAGTGGGTATACATAATATCCACTGAGCTTCCCCTATCGACCAAGATACGGCGAACGCCAAAGTTTTCCATCTGTGCCCGGATCAGCAGGGGGATGGCGGCGTTAGGGGCTCCCCCGGGCAGCTCCTCGAGGTAATACGTGATCGGGTTAGACCGACCATGGAACTTGTCGAGGGTGCTCATCTTGTTGGAGCTGTTGCTCATCAGCTCGTCGAACTTCCTCTTGACGGACCCAACGAAAAGTTTGTTTGGGGCCCCGCCGTAGATGACCATTGCAGTGGGGAAGTATTCCCACGAACTGATGAGGCGTATTAGTTCCTCGGGCAGCTGGAACCCGGCAAGGAAGTTGTGTTCTCTTAGAGAGAAGTCTTCGGGCCGACTTATGCTGAGGGCCACTTGCAGTCCGGTGTTGCTGGCGGGCAGAGGCACGTCTTTAACCCTTTTGGCTTCGTGGGCCTCTTGTCGATGAGCTTCTCCTTCTTTGGTGTACCTCTTCAAGTGCCCTTCTTTAATGAGTATCTCGATCGCATCTTGAGATGGATGCAATCCTCGGTGACATGTCCGTGGCCGCGGTAGAAGCGGCAGTACTTGGACTTGTCCACATTAGCTTTGGGAGGTGTTGGTTTAGGGAAAAGGATACCTCCCCTGACGAACTCGGAATTGGCACACTCTGCTAAGATGCGCTTGCAGGAAGCAATAAAGGTCGTGTACTCAATGAATCAGCTTACGGGGCCCCTCTGTTCTCGAGGTTCCCGGGGACGATCCTCTTATCGTCTATCTCCTCCGAGCCGGGGGGCTGGTGCTTCTTCTTCCCGCACACCACAGGCAGCTTCACGGTTTTGAGAGTCTTGGACAAAATTGGCTGCCTCAGTATCCTCGAACCAAATGTATGCCCGGGATTTTTCGAGGAAGCTTTGAAGGGTGGTCGGCTGGTGGATTGCCACAGCCTCAGCGAACTTGGAGCCCTGGCGCAATCCTTGCTCCATGAGGTAACACTTCATTTCGTCGGAAGTGGTTACATGGACTGCCTCTGTGGTGAATCTCTCGATGTAATTCCTAAGAGATTTGTCCCTGACTTGGATGATCGTGCACATGGCAACTTCCATCTTTGAATGGCACCGGGATGCCATGAAATGTTGCGAGAAGAGATCTTTCAGCATCCTCCACGAGGTGATGGATTCAGGCTCCAGGATCTTGTACCATGCCATGGCTCTTTTCCTCAGAGTCGTCAGGAAGAGCCTGCATTTGATGGCTCCTCGAACGTTCCGGTAGTCGAGCATGACTTCGATGTCTTCCAGATGGTCGTCTGGGTCCGTCATGCCATCATAGGCGGAGAGCGCGGATGGCTTCTCCATCCCGTGGGGGATGGGCGTCTCCATAATCTCCCGCGACAAAGGGAGTCCGGTGACTGTCCTCGTCGCTTCGGACCGGAGAGCGTGAGGGGGAAGGATTGTGTCGAGGTACTTGACTGTGCCCCTTCGTCTTCTTACTCGGGGTCGGGGAACGTCTTTCCCTTCGGGGAGGTGACCGGTCGCGGTTCTTAGAGGCCACGATTTATGGCCTCTCCAATTGCGGTCGGCGTTCTCCTTGACGGGGAGAGGGGATCTGGGAATCCTCACGTTGGGTTATCTGCAGGGGAGAACGAGATGAACGATCCTATTCTAGCATCCCGATACGCTCGTTCTGTTGGAACAACATCAAATTAGTCTGGTTGATGGCTGCGAAGAGGGCAGTCATAGTTGGATCCGCCCCTGCTAGTGTGGGGACGAGCTGGAAGACAACTGGGCTCCTTGCTCGAGGGGAGACGTTGCGTATCGTGTCGTCGGATGAAGGAGAGGCAGTCTGCATGTCCCTCACGTCACTGTCATGGTTGTTGACGAGCCCACCATGATCTTCTTCGTTGGTGAGCGGGTCGAAGGCGAAATTGTGGACAACATTTTCGTGGCGTGGGCTGGTCATGATCTCGAAAGTTGATGACAGCTTTGGTTTTGCTGCTCGGAAGAACATGGAAGTTTTAGTTTTCCACAGATGGCACCACTGATCGTACCTGATTAGAAGGGATCACTGGTCTGCCACGCGTCATCGACTGATAACTTCCACCGGAGGTAGGGAGAAGGAGAGGGGTGTACTTGCAAGGTACTCCGATGCTTAAGTAAGTAAAGGATCAGAGTGGGAGAGCAAATACAAAAGTAGGTGTAGAATAGAATACCTGACCCTCTAGTGAAAGAAGATATTTATAGAGAGACCCCTGCGCAGGGCCAACGGTTGCTTGTGTTGGGTTAGACTGCCAGGCCCAACCCAAGCAACTGCTAAAGCTTATGTGGCGTAGTGAAGACCAGCACGTGGTCTTCGCCCTAGATCAACTGTCCCGTGATCTTCGGAAGGTGGACTGACCAACTTTTTCAGAAGTAGGTAGTTGTCTGATGACGTGTCCCCGCGTGGAGGAGCACGTGGAAAACATGTGGATTTGCCCGTCAATAAAGTTGTTTGCCCAACATATATGAGTCATGCCCGACATGGGAGGATTGGGCCCTATTGGGCCTTCCCAACGTAGTGTTGTGTTGGGCCTGTCCAACTGATGGGCAGGTCCCGACCCAATCCAGAACAAATATTAAATATAATGTTTTTTTTTTAAAATTTGATCTTCACATCAGTGTCAAATAGACATCACATGACAACGATATTTGAATTTGACTAACAGAGCCAACATAAAGGACAAATGTGACACTTTTAAAGAAATAAGAGAATAAATTGATGTTTTTCAAAGTTAAAGGATCCAAATAAACTCCAAAATACCGATAAATGACAAAAAAAAATGCATTTAGTCCAAATTATATGTCATGAATCATTTAAACGCAAATCATCAATTTTTTTGTTATTTATATCAACACATATTTTTATGACAACTTTATCAATAATTAATTAGATTAGTGTTGTCAAAATCGAATTTTTACTTTAAATTATTTTACCTAAATAAAATTAAAATTTAAAATCGTGAAATTTACTCCATATTAAAATAATATTAAATTTATATACACAATATTCATATTATAAAAATATTCTTACTATAAAAAGATTAGATTCGGAGAAAATAATAAAAGGTTTCATGATAATTTATTATATAATAAAAGATTTCATGATAATTTGTAATTAAATAATAAACGGTTATAAAGTAGTGTTTTTTAAACTTTAAAAATATATTGTTTTCTAGTATGGGCCGTAAAAGACCCGAAGTTATTACTTTCAAAAGTAGGTTTAGGTCCCAGTCCAGATGGACAAGCAAAGATAAAGTGTGAAAATAATACATACATAATATTATATAATATAAGAATAACAGTAATATAATAATTTTAAAAAGGGAATAAAATTCTGTTAAAATAATATATAAAAATACGAAGTAGGACAAATTGGGTATTTTAGAAAATATGATAGGCGTGAAAGTAATTTCCAAAGGAAGAAACCCTAGTCTATTAATATCATGAGCGCACCCAAATTTCACTCCCTCTTCACTCTCCGTCTCAGATCGCTCCGAATCTCAATCGCATAACACTAAACCTGTAACCAGGAGCGGTCAGAGAGAGAATTTTCAATCATGTTGGTGTACCAGGATCTCCTTACAGGTAACTACTCTCTCAGATCCATGTCTATTTTTCTCCTATTATTCTCTTATAGATCTATTTGAATTACGCATCGGATTATGTGGTATTGAAATTTGGATTGGAATCTTTGGATCTGTTATTTATTTTGTTTTCTGATTTGTTTGAATTTCAATTGATTCAACTGTGTTGCACTGAGATGCATATTCTGATTATTCGTGATTGGTAATAAAAGCCAGAGTTTCTGTAATAACAAATAAAACCATATTTTTTCATTATTGTAATGATAAATTAATCTCAATCTGCTATGTTTTCTTATATAAAATCGAGAATTTTTCTGCGTGTAGCATCTTTTTGCCTAGGGTTGTGTATCGTTTATGTCCTGTTTTATTGATTATTGCTTCTCCTATTTTGTTTTATATTTTTCTATATATTTTGTTTTAAATCAATTGTTCTGAATTGCTTCAGCTCTAATAGAAGTGTTTATTTAGGACTTAATCCCATTTTGTGAATAATGATAGTTTCCATGTTCTAGAAGTCTGGACCACTGGATTGAGAACGGATCATGTTCCATGTTTCATTTTTTTAATATCAAATTGTCCAATTTGGAACTTATTTGTCTGATCTCAATCCAATTCAAATAATCCAAATCCATTTACTACTTATGTTAGTAGAAAGATTTATTGGACTTTGTTGTCCAACCTATAACTGTTTTTCTTCTAACATTGGGCATGGAATTTTAGTGGCTTGCTTTTGCTTGAAATATGTTCAATGCTTTTGTCATGTTTTGTAGGTGATGAGCTTTTGTCAGACTCTTATCCATACAAGGAAATTGAGAATGGAATGTTGTGGGAAGTTGAGGGGAAGGTCAGTTGAATATTGTCCCATTTATTTCGTTTTATGTGCAATTATTAAAACATGTTTTTGTGAAATTGTTTTCTTTTACTTTCAAAGGGAATTGTTGTTGAATATTGGGCACTTATTTAGATTTTAATGTGCAATTATGAAAACAATTTTTTTATGAAATTATTTTGTTATGCTTGAGGATGAAAGTTAAAAGTTATTTCCTCTTGGTATGCAGTGGGTTGTCAAGGGAGCAGTTGATGTAAACATCGGTGCAAACCCTTCTGCCGAAGGTGGAGAAGATGAGGGTGTTGATGACACTGCTGTTAAGGTGGTTGACATTGTCGATGTATTCAGACTTCAGGTTAGGATAACCATGAGTATCTCTTTATCTTAGAGGATACATTTTTAAAGCTAGTTTTTAATCTCTTAGCTTGATTTCAGAGCATAATCATTTTATTATGTGTGAACTTTTGTAGGAACAACCTCCCTTTGATAAGAAGCAGTTTCTTGGCTTTGTTAAGAAGTATATTAAGCTGTTGACTCCCAAACTAGATGCTGAGCAACAAGAGCACTTCAAGAAGAATATTGAGGGAGCAACCAAATACCTCCTTGGCAAGCTCAAGGACCTTCAGTTGTAAGTGAACCACTATTATGTACCTTCTAAGAGTATTCATTGTTTCAAGTTTATATAGTATTTTTTATGGTCAAGAACACTTGATTACTCAAATCATTTTGTAAAACCTAAAGTGATGTTTTGTTTTAGTGTTTAATGTTAAATTTTTTTGTGCAGCTTTGTTGGTGAGAGCATGCATGATGATGGTAGCTTGGTCTTTGCCTACTACAAGGATGGTGCTGCTGACCCAACTTTTCTGTATTTTGCTCATGCTTTGAAGGAGATCAAGTGTTAAGTGTTGTATTGCACTTAGTTTTCTACGTCTCCTAATTTTTCATGTTTTTGTTGTTCTAAGTTATTTTGAGAGTTGGAGTTGAGACTAATTTGGTATTTTTGATAATGATGTGATGGTTTTGCACTTAGTTATCTTTCCCATATAATTTAGCCAGATTGGTTACAATTCATAAACATATGATTTTGTGTTTCAAAATGCCACATGGTTTCAAGATTTATTTGGTTTGTGTACATAAATAGTTTTGAAATTTATGGTGGAAATTTTGTCTATTAAATTTCTACTAATAGATAAAACTTAAACCCTCAACTACACCTCATCAGAAAGTTTTCCTTAATGTCATCAACGATGACCCAGAAAATAACAGTTTTTCGTATGACTCTCGGTTACCAATTGAATATTCTACCACAATTTCAAATAAATTTTTTTAATTGAAATTTATAAATACACATTCTTAAAAAATGTTGTTGTTTCTTGTTTTTAATTTTTTGGTTTATTTTTTGTTTGGCTTAATGCAGCTTTTTGTTCTTTAACTTAATTTCAAGTTTTACATTTGCCTCTTATTTAATAGTTTTAAGTCTCTTAAATTATGTTCTGTTAATTACATTGGTCATTTTTGTTAAATTTTGTCTTAAATTTTAAATTTGAATGATGCTGCTAAATTTGAATGATGTTGCACTCCGGTTGGTTTTGAATATGGTTGATGTAAAATTATTTTATTAATAATTTATTAAGCATTAGTCATCTCTTCATCTTTAGCTAACTAGAATTATTTTATTAATAATTTATTAAGCAATTAGTCATCTCTAACTTTTTCGATATAGTTTTTTAATGACTCATTGAGTCATATTTTGATTTTTTTTCACACTATCATTTCACACCATTCAAATATAACTCATTCCACACCATTTAAATATAACGTTTTTTTTTAATATTTAAGAGAAATGATTAATTTGACTAATAAAATAATTTTTAAGAGATTACAATTTAATCTTTATTAAATAAAAGAGTAAAATGAAATTTAAAATTAAGTTAAACAACTTCGAAACTAATTAAATTTCTTTTAATTTATATTTTGTGATTTGTTTTCATTAGTTACTTACAATTAATGTCCTTTGTTTTTTAGATTAAGATTTAGAAAGAATAGAACCTAAAACTCTAGATTAAGATTTAGAAAGAATAGAACATAGAACAAAAAACACACGAAAAACATGAAAAAACACTAGCTTACTAGCAGTGCACGTCACCCATTAGTCATTATCTCACATATTTTTACATATTTTGCAAGCACGACAGGTCCACGAACTCCAATGACATACTACCTCAGCTTTTATTGTAATATTGGAAAAAAGATAAATATAAATAATTAAAATAAATAAATGTTTAAGGATATAATAACAAATAATATTTTTTCTTTAATGTAGAACTGATATATATTTTGATATAAAATTTTTCTTCAAAAAGCTGCAATTGTAACCAATTATAGTTATAATATCCATGTAGCTTCAATTTATGTTATTTTGTTGAATATGTGATGATCTGACCTGATCAGAAGGGGATCACGGGCTGGCCACACGCTGTTGGACTGCTACCTGTTCGCCGGTGATGAGTAGGAGAAAGGGGGGTGTACCTGCAAGACACTCCGATGTCAAAGTAAGAATTTGGACAGAGTGAGAGCAAAGTACAGAAAGGTGGGTAAAAAGTGAATTACCTGACCCTCTTGTGGAAGAGGGTATTTATAGAGAGACCCCATCGCTGGGCCAACAGTCACTTGTGTTGGGCTGGATGGCCAGACCCAACCCAGGTGACTGCTAGGGCTTACGTGGCATAGTGAAGACCAGGACGTGGTCTTCGCCCTAGTCCAGCTGTCCCGTGGTTTCCGGAAAGTGGGTTTGACCTGCTCTTTCGGAGGTGGGCAGTTGGGGAATGACGTGTCCCCGCGGAGGGGAGCACGTGGAGAACGTGCGCATGTCACGTTGTTCTCCCCGCGGAGGGGAGCTCAGGAGGTTCCCCAGCGGTGTGTGATTCTCCCCGTGGAGGGGAGCACACGAGAGTGGGGGGAGACATATCGTCCTGCCCGTTGGCAAGGGGGATTCTTAGAAGCGCTGTTCTGTCCGGCTAGGGGGAGCGCCGAGGATGCTTAGAAGCACGCCGTCCTGCTCGGCAGGGAGCATGTCCTGCCCGTCGGGGGGGCGTGTGTCCGGCAAGGCTACTCAACTCATTGGGCCTTGGCTGTGCGTTATTGGGCTGGGCCCATGCCAGAACATGTGATATTGTGCTTGATGAAAAACTAATCATATAGCCTAATTATAGATATGATTGTACGACATATTATAATATCAATAATGCAATAAACATGTACCTGTCATGGTTGAATCCATTTGGCTGAATGTAAACTGAGAATGCTACTGCCCTCTTTCTGATGGAACTGTTACGTTTGATTATCTGACCTAATGGGATAGTCAAATATATATAACCACCAGATGAGGGAAGGGACCTCTCAGCGAGCTATCCAAAAGAATGACCCAACCCATCACGGGTCATTCAACAATTAAGCCCAATACAATATTCATTTAATTAAATAAATGTTAATTGATATAATAATTATATATATAATAAATAACTAATTAAAGTAAATCCAGTATAGATTTAACATTCTCCCACTTGGATGACTTTAATTAATTATTAAAATAACACAATTATAATATTCAAATATATCAACCACTTATCATCAAAATAATGTGAGAAGACACAAAATTTAACAATGCATAAATTGTATCCGATAGGGAAACAAATCACACATTTCAAATACCCACATTTCATATAACGATAATGAATATGAATTAACATAATATAATGTAGAAATATGTAATCCAATAATGGTCCAAGCATCTGAAATGCTATAAGAGATATGATTATTAAATTGACGTCATCTTATACATATCTCATTACAATAATTAAATGCAACAATCAGACTCCCACTAATCCAAAATATCAAATGACTTAACTACACCCATGTTGGTTACATGCCTTTGAAAAACACCAACAGTCAAGCCTTTGGTCAGTGGATCAGCCAACATGTTCTCAGTGGCAAGATGTTCAATTCGAGTCTGAAATTCAAGAATTTTCTCTCTGACAAATAGATACTTAATATCAAAATGCTTTGAGCGAGAAGAGCTCTTAGTGTTTTGAGAGAAATCTACAGCAGCAGAATTGTCGCAATATATCACAAGTGGCCTAGATATGCTTTCAACAACTTTGAAGCGAGAGATTAAGTTCTTTAGCCACATAGCTTGACAAGTAGCTTTATAGCAAGCTACATATTCTGCCTCCATGGTTGAGGTAGCTGTAAGAGTCTGTTTAACACTCTTCCACGAAATATCTCTTCTTGCCATCATAAAAATTAAGCCGGAAGTAGACTTTCGGTCGTCAGGGCAACCTGCAAAATCAGAATCAGAATAACCAATGACCTGAAGTTGATCAGACTTCTTATAGGTCAACATGTAATCCTTGGTTCCCTGCAAATATCACATGACCTTTTTAACGGCTTTCCGATGAGCCAATCCTGGGCTACTCAAGTATCTCCCTAAAATATTAACTGCATATGCAATATCGGGACGAGTACAAACTTGAGCATACATCAAACTGCCAACAGCGGAAGCATATGTGACTCTTTCCATTTCAGCAGTTTCTTTATCATTTTGAGGACATTCAGATTTAGAGAGTTTATCACCCTTTTGGACAGGAACAACACATGGGGAGCAATACTTCATATTAAAGCGTTTAAGGATTCTCTCAATATATCCTTTTTGAGATAAACCAAGAACACCACGTGACCTATCACGAAAAATTTGGATGCCTAAAACAACAAAAGCATCACCTAAGTCCTTCATATCAAAGTGGTTACTTAACATTATTCTTGTCTCATTCAAAAGACTAACACTAGTGCTAGCAAGAAGGATATCATCGACATATAACACTAAGATTATAAAATCTCTCCCACTGGTCTTTAAATAAATGCACTGATCTGAAGCATTTTCATCGAAACCAAAAGAAGTGACAACTTTGTCAAACATCAAATACCATTGTCTAGATGCCTGTTTTAATCCATATATGGATTTCTTCAGTTTGCATACTAACTTCTCTTTTCCTGCTTCAATAAAACCTTCAGGTTGAATCATGTAAACATCTTCAACAAGTTCTCCATTCAGAAAAGATGTCTTCACATCCATCTGGTGAAGTTCCAAATTAAAGTGTGCAACCAAAGTCATAACAACTCGAAAAGCATCTTTGGTAGAGACGGGTGAGAAAGTTTCTTTGTAATCAATCCCTTCTCTTTGACTATATCCCTTTGCCACCAGTCTGACTTTGTATCTATCAATTTTACCATCAGGATTACGTTTAGTTTTGAAAACCCATCCGCATCCAATGGCCTTGCAACCAACTGGTAACTCTGTGAGATCCCAAACACCATTAAGAGACATAGAATTTAATTCATCATGCATAGCATGCAGCCAATTAGAAGCATGAGAACAAGAAATTGCTTCATTAAAAGTGGTAGGGTCATCATCATCATGAATGTCAAACTCATGCTCTTGGAGATACACAACAAAGTCATTTGATATTGTAGGCTTTCGAACTCTCAGAGAATGTCTCAATGGAACAACTTCAGTAATGTCACTTGGTTCAACAACACCAATAGGCTCTAGGGTATCAATTTGTTCATGCTCATCTATTTGTGGTGACACAACTTGATCATTATTTTGAATTACTGGAATCACAACCTCATTATGGAAAGGAACGATTGGTACAGGGAGAAAAGTATGATCTTCTTCAAGAGTAACTGGTCGTGGCGTAGAGACTCCACTATCCAAATCACCCTCAAAGAAAATTGCTCTATCAGATTCAACGACTCGTGTAGAATGAGAAGGACAATAAAATCTGCAACCTCTAGACCCAACACTATATCTGATGAAGAAACCACTAATAGTCTTCATATCAAG